GGCCGTCACAGTATGCGTTTTTGCTGCCAGCGCTACATAACTAAAACACATGGAAACCTGTTATTACGGTTTTCGCAGCTCGAATCCAATGCAAAAATAATGAATATTGCGCGGCCGAGCTAAGTTTTAGCAGCTGTCTTGCAAAAATGTCCAAAAATAGGTGTGAGTACCCGCGTTGCTTTCTCTCGTCCCCTATCCTTGTAGTCCACATTTATTATTAATTATCATTTGTTGCAGACTATCCGAGGTGTGTCACACAGTGAATCATCATCATCATCATCGTATAAGCCTTCGTTTTTGTCCGATCAAGAGCTGAAGCATTTGATCCTGGAAGCTGCCAATGGATTTTTGTTTGTTGCATGTTGCGACACTGGTCGAATTCTGTTTGTGGCCGATTCGATTGTCCCCGTCCTGAATTTACGTCAGGTACCTGGTGTTTCTTTATTTTAATTAAAATATGAGCGGTATCAAAAATAAAATATCCGTACTTTATCTTCCTTGGTATCTACCACTGTTATCAAATCCAGTAAAAATGCCAGGACTGCCCCTAACAGTCCCTGTAGGGACCCATTTTAATAATATTACTTGAACTGCATCGCAAGCCGAGCGCAGCTCTGCCAAACATTTCGGCTCTGGACTGTATGTTTCCAACTTTCCGTCCAATGCACGTGTTCTGTCTCTTCGTTTTGGGTCATGCAAGGTTATTATTATTACTTTTATTATAATATTATTATCACTATTGTCATTATTATCATTAATGTTATCACTATCATTAATGTTATCACTATTGTTATTACTATTATCATTATTGTTGTCATTATTGCTGTTATTATTATTGTCAGTATTACTGCAAATAATCGCCGTGATTCGGAGTGTCGTTATCTCGTGATCTTTATTTGCTATGTGCTGAATAATTTATTGGTAATTCAGGAAGATTGGCTGCATCAGGCTATTTACGATCTGATACATCCGGATGATGTGGATAAAGTGAAGGATCAGCTCGATGGTAACGACACA